TAAAATGAGCATCATAGTGACTAAAGTTGTGTAAAAATATTGGTATATAACGAGGTTTCCTGAACTTCGAGCTACATGATTCGTGAGCGACACCTATAAAACTACCGGTGTACCAATCAAAATCATAAAAATGTTCTGCTAACTCTGTTTCACAAATATGACAAATGGTTGCATTTGAAATTTGGTTTTTGTCTTCATTTGTTAGCGGAAGTTGAGGATATTTTTGAAGTCTATTTATTTCTTTGAGATTGTTAGATAAACTTTCCATAAACACTTGTGCACAGTTGGGTCCGCAATACGTTACATATTTTGATAATTTATCATCATATGAACATTTTATATAATAACCAAAACTATGTACTTCATGTTTCTGAATATTGTGTGTGAAAGGTTTGGAAGGATCGTTAGAACATGATTCTATTGGTTTTAAAAATGCTTCAAAATCAGCATAAACTACGAATGGTATCTTCAACTTTTTTTCATAACTATCAAATTTAATTTTATCATTTGAAATAGGTTGACCAAACCAATTCTTTTTTTTTAAAAGTTTCACTGTTTGGTAATTCTGTACAAATGTGGGCACAATCGTATTGTTCATGGTTATTTAAACTTTCCTTAGATGGAAAGTGAAGTAGACATGCTTCGCAAATGTACATGATGTGACCGTCTTTTGAAATTTGTTTACTAACTAACCGCGATAAATTTTTTATGTAACAATAATGATTTTTTGTATCCTTGGAAAAAAATAATAAATTGATATGTCTATCTTTACGACACTTTGTTAAAAATAATGGACCTACTATAGAATTACATCGTTTTTCTTTATTATATTCTAACCCAAAAACATTAATACTAATATCATTTAATTTCTCTACTTTTGCTATGTCAGAAATTTTAACTGGAAAGGAAATACCATTAAATTTAAGTTTATTTGCATGTTTAACGTACGATGATACACGATCCGCGTCTTTGTTTACGGGATATAACGCCGAGAGTAACGCCCATTTAAAACAAAAATAATCCTTGCTTTTTACATTTATAACAGCCTTTTTTAATTTTATGTCACGAGGAAGATCTATGTATGAAGTACCGCGTAGGGGGTTAAATTTATTAACATTCATGTCTATAGATTTTATGTTTTTTAGACTCCATCCACTATCTTTTTTTTTCAAATGCACTAATTTTAGTAGTAATTGTATCATTTAAAGATGAAAAAAAAATATTTAAGTCATCTCCTTGACAAATAATATAGTTAAGCGTTTGAAAATCGAACGTATCATGAATATCTTTAGTTTGTTGAACAAAATCAGCATGCAATATGAAGTTTACTTTAAAAATTATGTGTTGATGAATACACTCTTGTATTAAAAATAAAATATCATCTTTAATAGAATTTAAAAATAGTTCAGGAGTTTCAAAATTTACCAATGTCGAACTATCTACTCTACTCTTGATTTTATAAGTTAAAATCCTATTTCCAAAAGCAGATTCAATAACACTAACGTTTGATAAAGAATTATGTGAATTTAAAAGATTATTTTTGTGAACATTACTTTTAAAATGATTAGCTAAATACCGTTTCTTGATAAATATATGACACGTTAGACATTCCACTTGATCTTCGTTACTGATACTGTTCCCTGCAGAGGTAGGCGCTTCTGCTTCCGTTGTTGGTTTTTTGATGATCTTGGGTTCTTTGCTGCTCGTTCGCTTCGTTCCTCTTCCAAGTTGTAGTGGTTGACTACTAAAATGTTTAAATTTATTAAAAACTGTACAAGACATTGTGTAAATTATGATCGAAATGAATGTTTATTTTACTTACTTAAACTGTGTTTCAACCATCGCACAGTGATTATACAACTCATCATCATACGATGAATCGAACAGTTGATCCTTCTCCATTTCATCACAAACTTTAGACAACTCCTGATTTAATTCGCTGTTGAATAGTTCCGTATTCTCTTCCATGGTTGTGGAGAAGAAAGCACTGGTGCACACTTCACTGAAGTTTGCCATCCTTATAGTAAAGAAGAAAATAGGTAGCAGAGTAAGTAACAGTTCAGTGTTGGTAGACCAACTGATACCCAAATTTCAAATAATGTCCGATATTTAAGTCTAACAAAGGATTAGAAATAGAATATAATGAGTACACGGAAGTAATTTAAGTAAACAGAATCACATTCACTAATGATCAGCTAATGACTGTCATTGTTAAAAAAGTATTTTTTAACTTTTTCACTTTCTGCTATTGTCTTTGTAATATTGTATACGAGGGCGTTTGTGTTGTCGTAGATGCTATCCTTATTAGTCTTTACGTAATATTTAATCCTCGTGGAAGCATGTTTCCAATGATCAGTAGTTGGAATCTTGGATAGCTTCTTCATATCGTACATTTCAATTTTGATGAGATGCGTCGCTTGGTCTCCGTCGTCAGAATTAGTAGAAATGTATGATACACCATCTCTAGCGGCTCGTGCTACGGTTGATGATAACAGCTTCCTCTTTTTTTATTTTTGATTCAGCTTCAAAAAAATGATCAATCGATTGCGATTTTCTTTTTCCACCATCGCATGTGTTATTATTAATGACGATGTCATCACTCTCTTCTTGAGGGGAGAGTGGCGAGTAGTAATACTGTTTATAGGTATTTTCATCGAAGCTCAATGATTTCTGCAACAACACAGTTATCATGTTAATATCAATTTGTTAACACTTAATCATAAAAGTTAAAAAAGCTAAAGTTACAACCTATTAAAGTCCACTGCTGAACATAGGCCTCCTCTCATTTCTGAGAGGGTTTTAGGGCTAGGAAATGTTCGCTGCGATACCTCAATGCGTGTTGGCAAACTTCACATGCCTTCGAAATTTTCTCAGACATGCATTCCTCACGATGTTTTCCTTCACCGCTGAGCACGTGGTAAATCAGCACTTAAAATTGTAATTAACAATTTAATTGGTGCCGGCGGGGATCGAACCCGGGACGTGTACTATGAAGTTTACATTTTGCGCTAACCATCTGAGCTACCACGGCTTAACCATATACACACACATAATATTTAAATATAATTTGTTAACACTAAATCATAGACACGTAAGAAAATAACAGAAAGAAAAGTAAGTTTGTCAATAGAATAAACACTTACATCCATGGGCTTTGATGCGTTGAAGTAACACAAACGTAGTATTGATAGATCCACTGCGGTCAAACGACCATACACTAACTCCATGACTGCAGTTGCTTGGTCTTATATAGTACCAGTGAGTAATAATTCTAATCTAAAGAATTTCTGCAGTAGAATTGATAGTATCTTTATGCGTCAACAAGCTTACCTTACATTCTGTTGCTTATCTCTACATTCCTACGTCCTTCCTGTCATGTCTTGTTCAGTGTATTGGTGACTCAAATACGTTTTGTATAACACAAAGAAAGCAATTTAATATTTAGATATCACTATAATTGATCATTCCTATATTAGTCATTGAGTAGATTGGTACTGTAATAATCTACTAATAGCAGTAATATTATGGATACACTAGATGTACAACAACATCTGAAAAAGATTCACCCCACTCTAGAAAATAATGTTTATGCTGCCAATAAACTACCCATGTACACCCACGTACCAACGTATATAATATGCAATTTGGATACAGATGATAAACCAGGGTCACATTGGGTAGCTTTATATATCGATACGAATGACGTCGGTCAATATTTTGATTCATTCGGACGGGCACCTGTACGATATCATCTAGAGTTTTTTAAAAGAAATTGTAAAAGATGGAACTGGAATGTTGATAGGATTCAGAATGAATGGACTTCAGTTTGTGGCGAATATTGCTTAATGTATTTGCTATATAAGTTTCAGGGATGTTCAATGCATAGTTTTACGAGTATATTTACAGAGAACACATTGTACAACGATATTTTAGTGGATGAGATGTTTCGCTCCTATTTTATAGATAATAAGTAATAAGATTTTGTATTTCATAAATAAAAATTTTTACAAAATTAGGTAATGTGTTTTATTGATGATTCAGATTAGTGTTGTAGATAGGAACAAAGGAGTATAATACAATAGCATAAGCCGACCCACACGCTGGACGAATAATAGATAATGACGGTAGTCAATCAACAATAGATAAGTAGATAAGGACAATGGAGCGCTAATGACGGTTGAGGCTCGCAGCGGATATCAATTAGATAAGAGTTAATTGATCTGCACATCTCCGGAACCGTGCATCCTACGCAAAAATGGACCGCGAGATTCGTGATCAGAGCATGCCAAAACCTTTTTTTTTTTTTTTTTTTTTTTTTTTTTTTTTTTTTTTAGGATTGTGAGTCGACGAACGTCGTGCGCCAGAACTGGTACAACCTTTCTACAAGTGCGCCAGAACTGGTACAACGTAACTACTTGTGTGAAATGTTAATATATCATGTTCAAAGAAATTATAACATTTATAATAATTATATAATAATAACTTTCAAAACATGGAGTATAGAGGTAAGGAGGCCAATCTCCCATAGGAAAATAGTTGAAAATGTGTCCATCCGTAAGCAGTAAATAACAGTTCAAAAACTCTCCACTACGGTAGGAGTACACTAAAATACGTTGAGAGCGATTTTGAAAATAAAAATTTTGAAAGCGATAAAATAATTATTGTAAAAGGAATTATGGTGAAAGACTGTGCAATAAAAAAGGTATGAAAAGTTCTTTAAAATTTAAACTGTAGCTACAGTGGCGCCACCCTTATTTAACGCTTTCCTACGGACACTGACTGACTTTTATACAGAGTCTGTACTACATACCTCTACACTCCATATTTCAAAATAAAAATATTAAATCACAGATTATAAATGCATGAGATACCATTGTAATATGTTTACCTACCCAAAAAAAATCCTTATTTTTAATTTGCAGTCTAATTTTAAATTCGTTTAATAACTTATTTATGTATTTTACTTAAAAATAATTATAATCTTGATTGTTTTTCTACAGATGGGACCACTCGGTTAATACAAAAACTGACGTTATCAGTACGACCTAAAATGAAGGTAAGTCATACATAATTTTAACCACAATATTGTGTAGAAAAGTCTTATATTATTAAAATCGTTGAAAATCTTTTAAACATTTTCTATCTTCCCTAAACATCATCATTATTTTGATTTACATTATTTATTTGATAACAAAACCTTTAAAAATATAATTTGACGGCTTCGTTGCGTAGCGGCTAAACGTTGTGACTGACTCGCAACTGACCGCGGGTTCGAATCCCGCCCCAAAATATTTTATCGCCTCCTAATAATTGTTCCGGGTCTGAAAAAACGCCTTCATAACACTGGAGATTACCCTGGTATGGGAGTACGTTTTTTAAAGAGAACTAATTACTTAGGTACATGTTTGCCGCTGTTATGTATAAGTACTTCATAATTATACATAAAAACTAAAAACTTAAATTTAATATATATATTAGTAAATATACACATTAATAATTGTTGCAGTGAAATGAAACAATCCAACTTCGGAGATTCGAACATATCCGGCCAGGTTTTCCTGAATCATAAAAACAGTATTTAATTAAATGTATAATAATGTAGTTGCATTAAGCCAAATTATGATATTCGCATATAAATTTATATTAACAATATTATCTCATTTGTTTATCCGTATTCATCAAAAATCCTAAAAGTAAAGACAAATAAACAAATAACAAAATGATTGTGTCTTACAGCTTATCATATTTCTTTATCTAGAAAAATACAAATAAATTCGCTAAAAGCCTTAGATGATCGTCCCTATCTATTTGAATTTAGTTTATTATAATAGTAATAAGGCTTCGTAAATATTCAAAATGTGGAACTCATGAATCGGGATTTAACTTTTATAAATCCAAATGGAAGATACCTACGTAGCCACGCTACATAGTACATACATAATAATAAAGTAGATTTTAGAAATGAACTCGAGTGTATTGTGTGTGATGATGTTACCATTTGCATAATGTAACCGCATTTAATGGATTGTTGATTGTTATAATTTAGGATAGGTAAGAAATCTACTATCTACTTTTATTTTGATTATGTTAAGAATTTCTAAGTACGCATGATCCTACTAATTTTTCTAACTTTACTTACTTTATATATATATGTTATTGACTTTATGGATTAATTAGAGCACTATTTAAAATGCCCGGGCAATGTAAATAATGACAAGTCAAATCGGGCTATGTAATTGTAATTAATACTGATTTAAACTTCATTATTTATCGCACTATCTGATCACTATGAATATTGCTACGAAATTGTTGGACACAGAACACAATTAATCTCTATAGAAAGAAGAACGCAATCTCCAAATTAAAAAAAATTAAACACCCGTCTATAAGTCTATACTTCTACCGTACAATGGGCGCACATATGAAACTTTTTTCGCGGGAATTTCAAACCTTTGTATTCTGTAACTTTAAACTTTTTATTAAAGGCGTATTCGAGTAATTCTAGCTCAAGCCTCACAAACCTATGGGGTAAACTTTCATTTGAGAGGTTGCACCAAAATTACACGAATATACTTTAGATTAGCATGTGGGATAAAATAAAACTATAAAGAGGTATAGCTAGGTCATTTCATTTTCTGGAAGGCAGATTGTTTTATAAACTATACAATATTAACGATGTTTTTTTTTTATATATAGGATAGGGTGACAAACGAGCACACAGTCCACCTGATGGTAAGTGGTTGCTGCGGCCCATAGACATCTACATCTATCCTCGATTACAAATCAAAATGCAAATGCGTTGTCACCCGTGAGGACTGAGATGGAATGCCTCATTTCCAGTAAAAAGGGTCTCCGGTTCTCTACACTCACCATACGAAATACAGCAGCATTAAGCTACTATTTCACACTGGTATTCTGTGAGAGCGTGATCCTTCCCCGGTCGAGCCGACCCATTCGTGCTACAACTATACTACTAATATAATTGCAGCATGGCTCTACCACGTAAAAAGTCTATACTACTTTTGCACATAATATTTCCACGCATTGAAATAATACTAGTTTTTACGGAATTTATCGCGTATATTTAACTTTTTAAATACCCGACGTTTCGAACGCTTTACAGCACCCATGGTCATGGAAATAACATGGAATTCAAATTCCGTAGGATTCAACTTACATTTCATAGTTCCGTAGACGATGAAAAAATTCTGTAAATCTGCGGAAAAATCCGTAGCGTTGCAACGCTGACCTATCTTAACCAAACCTAACCAAATTAATCACTTTTAAAGCAAATAGGTTAATAATGTCAAGTTGTTAAAAATTAAATTTGCTACTATCCGAGTACGATTTAATTATCGTGTGAATAGGCGCTTCCGTCTTTTTATTACTCTGCCCAACGGTAACGGGTTTTATTCATAAAGCTTTTATTACTACTACTATACTTACGTTTAATTATTTCTATATATTTTTTCATATTGCCTACTCGTATTGGGAATTATTCATATTGCCCGGGAATTATGAATAATGTCTAATTAATCACTTGGTCCATAAAATATAACTATATGCTTTCTTTATTCAAAAGCTTTTATTCGAACTTGAAATTATGATCGTTAGTTACCACGTTGATAAGTTGAGGCCGAGTTATAAAGTGATATGATTTTGCATGCAGATTGCGCTTTCAAATATATAATAATTTTTATTATATATAGCAGTTTTACAAGTAGAAAAATTAGAAGGTATGAAAATAAGTCGCAATTTTATTAACGAAAACTTTTAGGTACGAAATAATGCCGATAGGCTAAAAGAGATCTAACATAGATCTGCTATTATTATTGTAATTTTTTGTAGTAATAAATCAGTACAATAAAATATTAAATAAATATCTAATTTTCTACAAATATAAAACTTTATATATATTGTCGCCTCAACTGATAATTCTTGACTACAACGTTTTTATAGATTTTTGCACGGATTAATAAATATGAGTATAAATATTTCCATCGCTCATATTAAAAGGGAACATTTCATAGGCTCTTATAGCAAAAAAAAAATGGAACTGTTGTTATTGTGCGGTTAATAAAATCTGTATTTTACTACGGCAAGATATAATAAATATAAATTTCATATAGGTATTTATTGATTTGTTACTAGGACGTTTGTTAGTGACACATTTTTTTCATAATTATTATTTTATAATATTTTAAATGTCTCACTTTATATCTAGCCAGTTGGTACCATGTTTTTAATGGCAACACCATAAAATGCAAATAAATGAACATGTATATGAACTAAGTTATTACGTATCAAAAGGAAAATAATTATTTGGATTTCTTTATAACAAAATTCTTTGTGGTTTGTTCGAGTGCAATAATTATGAATAAAAAATGAATGAAATGAATAAAATCATGGTAATTTAGACCTCTTATTCTTTCTTAAGTTTAATAGTTTGAATAAAAGGAAAAAATCTTACGCAATACTGATTTCTTATATTTACGCAAAAATTAAACATTGAATAAAATTAATCACATGAATTTTATCGCGTTTAATTTTACTTTTCTATTGCCGACTTCTCAGAAGTGATTGCGATATTATAAAGCGTCCAAAACGTCGGGAAACAATGAATAAAATTTAACGTGATAAAATTTGTAAAGTTAGTTTTATGAAATTATACAATATGTAACGTAATTAACGCACATCCTCAGACACCCCAGTTAGTATATTATGTTATAATCATAATACATACACTGAATTTTTAGTTAAACATTTTTATGCACTGATTATTTATCATATTAGTTATACTAATTCCGGAAGAATGTTGTGGTCACAGTACAAATCTACGAACGCAAAGACTTCAACATGCTTGAAATAAAGTTCATTTTTCTTTATTTTTATTGAATGACAGGATTAATAATAATACAAATAAAACTGCACTCCATCTTTCCATTCCATTTCCATTTCAGTTTGTTTTGACTGTACAGATTTAGTGAGACTGTAATTTACGTAGTTTTAATTATTTTTGGAATAAAAAATTACTAATAAATAATTTAAAAATGATAGGAATCGATTCAGTAAACGATTCTGAACAAACTACTTTCTCAAAGTGCGTTAATTATGTTACGTGTTGTATATAATTTTCAGTTTGGTTAGCATAAGTGTTTTATAATTTAAGAATTATGATTCTTATTAGAAAAGGACAATACGTTGGAACTCTATAGCTGTAAAATTATATATAGGTACCACCAAAAGCAACACAGGCCACCGGTGGACCGGGGGGAGTAGCTATAGGCAGACGTTCCCCTGTGTCAATATACAAGTCCACGCGGTCCTATGCGTACAATAATACTAGCAAAGATGTTTTATAGGTACCTATAAAACATCTTTGAAAACTAGTTACAGCCACGCTGCTCACTAGACTGAATCTAGGTGCGCGGCTGAATTGACGTTCTACAAAAAAGCCGAACTGTTATAATTAAATATATTAATTTTTGTAATTTGACCTATAAATATAATATGCAGTAAAAGGGGTTGTTTAGTCATTAATAACCTTAAAACATAAGGGTATGTTTTGGAAGAAATAAAACAAAATGCAACAATTTTTCTTCTGTCTATTTGTCAGCGCTCGCTTTACATAGTTTATAGTCTCAAAACGTAGTCAGGTTTTATTTTAATCATTTGAGTATCGTATATAATATCAAGGGATATAGCTTCAACTCTCTATGATATTTTTTGTTATCTATAAAATATAATCACAAAAATAGTAAGCTATTTATTAGAACTACAATATCCCTGAGTAAAATAAATACTACGTTAAATCACGGACATTCACTAGTTTCAGTGGCGTATCATAAACTCTGCCCCTCGACCCCACCAACATATTTTCGCAAGTTTTCTTTAAATATAAAATCGAAAAAATGTGCTGTTACAGTTTATGAATATATATATTATTATTTAAATATGAATAAAACAATTTAATGTATTTTTGTACTTATCTCTACCTTTCAGAACGTTCAAATGCTGCTAATATATCACTAAATTTTAATCAAATGTTAGTAAAGGCTAGTTTTTAAATTTTCTCACTGTCAATATTCATCAATGGGATTTAACTTTTCTTTCCCAAAATGCCCCTCTCTAAAATCTTCCTCCAAGAGCCAACGCCCCCTACGCCATACAATCCTATAATCCTTGCTACGCCACTATTTATTTAAAAAAATAGCATCATTTTTTCTCTTTTGACAGCTTTATTTTATTATTTCATCAAACCTATTATTCACTATGACTATAAATTAAAACTAAATATTATATATTAATTAGTGTCAGTGGGTAATCCTTTCAAGTATCTCAAGCAATTTCTTTAAAAGTAATTTAATTTTAATAGAAAAAATTAAACACTTTATAGGTTTAGAAATTAATATAAAAACAAATGTAAATGTTTCTTCATGTAATAATGGCTGTGTTTTTGTAATAATTGTTTCGCCAGTAACCCAAAGATTTGTTCCAATTTGTCTGTAG